CGTGTAACAAGGACACCTTAAAATAAAGTGCTATCAAGGATTTTTGTCTTATAGAAATCGCATCAAAAAGGACCTACACTTCGGAAAAAAGCCACATGTTTATAAATGCCAGATTTGTTCAGGATGGCTTGTTTTTCTGAATCCATGGCTAAGTGACATGCCCTACGTTTTAACATTATGTGCCTATAAGGCCTATCGAAGTGCAGTAGATATTAAAAATTGTAAAAAGCTTTGTAGACATACCTCAATATTTTCAAGAAATCCATCAACAGTCAAATCCACAAAAAAAAAGGATGACCCACACTACAAAAAAAAGCTGAGTGAGCTCTTACCCCTCTACCGAAGGCCGTGCAGCTGGGGTTTGAGCTGATATGACTGGAAACAACAGACATCTCTTTGGCCTCCACCTCCTGCTCTGCTGACTTGGGCAGATGTACGGCAACCAACTGGAAACACTCTGGCCATGCAGACACACAAAGTTTCATGCACTTGTACCTCATTAAACAAATTGATAAGATCCCGAACGTTACAGCTGAGGTTCAGAGATGTGAACGGTTTGGTGCAGGCGAGTTTATTTTTTGATACTTCAAGGTTAGTGCTGTCCAAGCTATTTATTATAGAGTCTCAGTCTCAGACAGTACGATCACTGATAAGACAGTTACATTCATATGCTGCCCTTTTCACACCAAAACATCTGATAGGCTGGCTTAACTTCGGTCCACCCGGAAAACACTGTTGTGTTTGCAAGGTTTTGGGACTAAAACAATAAGCACAGGACAAATGTATTCCCATTCATGCTGATGCTGAAATCACGGCACATTTTTTGATGACATTTTATTATTGTGTATACACATTTCTCCTTTACTGAGTCAGAAAATGAGTTCTTTTCAAACTGTATTGGTGAAGAGTGCCTGCTCCTTATCACTGCATCACAATGATGTGGCAGGAATCTACTCCACCTGGCACTGTGAAATACATACCATTTTTGGAATCTGTAGCCATTGAAACATGAAGAAAAAGGACTCCCTCATGTTTCTCGGACACGTATATTGCAAACAAAGGGTATCCAATGATAAATGTCTGAAAAAATAAATAAAATAACATGAAAGGAATGAAAATATTTACTGCAACAGTGGCCTTGTATTTCCTCACAACACCAACTGTACCTTGATAAGGATGCCGTCAATGAAGTCCCATAATTTAACAGTGCCATCTGCTGAACAAGAGTAAACCTGCATGCAGAATGAATAAATAGATTACAAAATAAATTCTGCTGTTTAAAGGGATAGTTCACCCAAACATGAAAATTAGAGGTTTATATGCTTACCCCCAGGGCATCCAAGATGTAGGTGACTTTGTTTCTTCAGTAGAACACATATGATGATTTTTAAGTCCAACCGTTGCAGTCTATCAGTCGTATAACGCATGGCAATGGTAACAAAACCTATGAGAGTAAAAAAAAAAAACATGCACAGACAAATCCAAATTAAACCCTGCGGCTCGTGATGACACATTGATGTCCTAAGACACGAAACGATCGGTTTGTGCCAGAAACCGAACAGTATTTATATAATTTTTACCTCTAATACACCACTATGTCCAACTATCTTTGAGCGCGCGCACGGCATCCGGTGCATGAGGTGTGTACGCGCTCTGGCGTAGTTTATGTTAATGGGTGTGTTGATATCCAGCCTAAGAGCAATCAACCATAACTTCAGGTGAGCAGGCTCAGAAGTTGGGAATACGTGGAAAGTCCCCACTCCCGAATGAGTTAGCGCGAGAGAAAGTGATCTTTTAGTTTTAAGTTGGTTTGAACAATCCAGATAAGTGCAAGTAAGTACCATTTTGATTAGCCGTCGTACCTACAATGACTGTGCACTGTGTAAACAATGAGTGACGTATACGCGCGAGAGATCAATTCCAGCGCTTGTGTAAACTACGCCAGAGCGCGTACACACCTCACGCACCGGATGCCATGCGCGCACTCAAAGACAGTTGGACATAGTGGTGTATTAGAGGTAAAAAATTATATAACCACTGTTCGGTTTCTGGCACAAACTGATCATTTCGTGTCTTAGGACATCAATGTGTCGTCACGAGCCGCAGGGTCTAATTTGGATTTGTCTGTGCATGTTTTTTTTACTCTCACAGATTTTGTTACCATTACCATGCATTATATGACTGACAGACTGCAACAGTTAAAGTTAAAAATCATCATACGTGTTCTACTGAAGAAACAAAGTCACCTACATCTTGGATGCCCTGGGGGTAAGCAGATAAACATCAAATTTTCATTTTTGGGTGAACTATCCCTTTAAGTAACAGTAAACCATTCAAAATAAATCTGACAGGGAGATCCGGAGGTTTACTCTAAGTCAAAAGGTTTATTTTGCGATAAAGACACTGTCCTCAAAATAAATGGTTAGATTAGTGAAATCAGTCAAAACGGAAGATAATGAAAGACTGTAAGACATTTTTTTCTGCTATAATAAAGTCAGAGTTGTGCAAATAATTTCAATAATTTCACAAACCTTAGACAATTCAAACATTTCTGAATATTTTTTGGAATGAAAAAAAATAAATAATAATAATACAAAGCACACCTACAGTAACAAACAAGCTGACAAAAGGAACTCAATCAAACCTTATCAACTATCTCATGCTTTCTATACAATTGAACTCAAGTGACGCACAGACCTGCAGATGATTGGCAGGATTCAAAGCGATGCCTGTCACTTGGTTGGTGTGGCCCTGCAGACTATGGAGCCACTCTTCTGTGCGTGTGCTATAGACCTTCACTAGATCCCCAGAGGCGCACAACACAAACCTGCAACCATGAGACAACTTTACATTTAAGTGATACAGACAATACCTTTGCACTTTACACCTGGCATTCACAGACCCTCAATGAGTCACCCAAAAAAAGATTCTTCCTTCAGTTTATTCATTCAAATACACTGCATGCAAATTATCAAAAACTCACGCCATTTAGTTCTCTTAGCGTAAAACTGAATTTTATTTCTTAATTAATTACTAAAACCATGAGTTTAATTGTGATTATTTTAATCCCTTGGCAGCCCCAACATCGAAAATAAATAAACAAACAGATAGATAAATAAATACATAATTTAATCTTCTTTGGCATAAAATACAATAAATAAAATATGTGTCAATTAAATGTATTTTCATAGCATTAGTACAATGCAGGATTATGTGTAGATCACGCAGGGGATGCATAGAGGTTTTCTAAAGCCTGTGTGAATAAATATAGATTCAAATTCAAAGAGAGAGGATAGTCTGTGCATGATCTGATGCATTATTCGGACCCAGAATAAGGCGAGATGAACATCGCTGAGCGCTAAACACTCCTGGCGTGCAGTTTGTGTTTCATTGATACTCGAAGCCGGAGAGCGCTCTCTCGCAGAAAGTTGTACCAGGAAATTCCTAATATGGACAAAAGCATCCAGCTCTCGCTGTATGAAAAAAAATTGTTTTCACAGAAAAACAGAAACGTTTGGAAACATGAAGACATTAAACATACGATTGTGACAATATATGGTTTATTTGTGTTTTTCAAGTCATCTCCAGCAGGTAATAAATAGCGTATATGAACAATGCAGTGCTAATTGACATAGCATTTATTACAGTATAGAAACTATTCTGCCTTATTATGTGATATAAAAGTGTTTGTAGTATATAAACAAACCATTATTATTGGTTATTGTCCAGCAGTTATCTGATTTCTAAGCCAATTAAAAGCTAGAAATTAGAGAATAATTACCAGTCAAAAGTTTTTCAACAGTAAGATTGTTCATGTTTTTTTAAAGAAGTCTCTTCTGCTCACCAAGCCTGCATTTATTTGATCCAAAGTACAGCAAAACAGTAACATTTTGACATATTTTTACTAGGCTATTTAAAATAACTGTTTTCTATTTGAATATATTTTAAAATGTAATTTATCATGATTTCAAAGCAAAAAATTTTGCATCACTACTCTAGTCACACGATCCTTCAGAAATCATTCTAATATTCTGATTTACTGCTCAAAAAACTCACATTTTGAATTTCTGGCTTCAGGAAAACACAAAACAACCAGCCTAAAATACTCTGTTGTTGATAATATGAATTATGCATTTGCAACACAACTATAATGCATAAGGGAATGCATCCTCCTGAAGCAATTTTGTCTTTATTGCCTCAGGGAAACAGCTTCAAACCATGAATCTATGGCTACCGTACTCTTCAACAACTTCCTCATTCAGCTTGAGAGGCAGTGTTCTCAGGAGCAGAACTTTCTTCACAGACACAACCTAAAGAGAATATTTCATCAGATACAGGTAACAGACGCACACTGCCCTCCTGTTATTTCCACACATTTGATGCATTCCTCAGTGTCAAATCCACACTGTAAAAAAACCTACAAATATTACTGAAGTACATTTTACAAGAAAATACTATTTCCGTCTTTACATTTCAAAATTCCACATGTAATTCAATGTGTCACTTGCTGTGATTAATTTAGAAATTTGCTAGCAATTTCTGAGTAGAAATAGTTTCTACACCATATTTTTTTTGTGCATTTATCAAAACATTTTTTTTGCACACTGTCTTATCAAAAGCATAGTTTCCTTTAGTGATGCCATGCCTGTTTTTATACATCCTCTCTAAAACAAGAACTGAGAGGAAAAGAAAATGAACTTGTGAACGACCCTGTGACTATTTATTTAACAAATTTAACTTATTTTCTATAATCAGGAAATTAACTAATGGTCAGTATTGGGATTTACAGTAATAGCCATCAAGGTAATTACATAGAACCTCTGTTGTGATTCATAACTCTATGGCAAAAAATATTTTAAGCGTGTATTCAGTTGTCTTGCTGTGGTTTTTGCTAACTTTTCAATGACTTCTGTGGAAACAGTCCTAACCAATATGTAGCACCTTAGGTCACTTATCTCACAGAGTTTACCACATTTAGTAAGGAAGAATATTTATCAGCAATGGCTGACATGTACACTACTGTAACATACCATTTTGATGTGCTAGATGTAGTTACAATGATGTGCATTCCTACAGTCTCAAAAATGTTTCTATAGTAGGTATACAGCAAGAAAAAAAGAGTTCAGGATGTCTCAGAATCTAAATTCTCTCACAAAAGCTGACTGGCAAAACTCTCAATGTCGGGCTGCTGTACACATTTTTTTCTCTTATGCAATATTTTTACGAGTGGTTGCTGTGGGGATTTCTCACTAGATAAATGTGAAAAAAACTTCCACAGAAGAATTAAATGTCGGGGGTTTCGCTTGGTTAAAAAATTACATCTGTCTGTAACTGGTGTTGTATGCCACCCCAAAAACAAAATGACAGAGCGCGGTGTGGGGGAGACCATTTTTTATTTTTCCACGTAGACTGTATTTAGGACAGCTGCAAAAAAAAATTTTTTTTGCGTGGAAATATCATTGTCAATAAAAACACCACCTACCTAGTCGAAACGCCCACAATATTTTGTCTAACAGAAAAGTTCAAATGAACTTAACAGATGATTGTTATTTTCCGTAACTTCTAACAAATATCATAAACCCCTGAACGAATATCAAAACCTCAATCTGCGAAGTGAGCACTTCAAGGAAAAATTCACTCAAAAATGAAAGTGCACTCTCCTAATGCCATATACTGTATATATGATTGTACAGTTTCATATCATATTTGTATAATCATTCTATGCTTTCAAAACAAACACGGATGCATCAGGTTGGGACATTAATTATAACATAAAACGTCATTGTTTTTGCATCTCGCGACTAAATGTCATTGACATAAAACCTGCTACAGTTTGGATAAACTCCTTAATGGAAACAAACCAGATCTCAAAAACGTCATGCGTGAGATTTTAACCATTAACTGTTTCGTTTACATCAATGGTTATTTGTTTGAACTTTCACTTTCCAAGGCTACTTCACTCCTTGTAATGCCACATTCCTTTTAAATGTTGTCTGAAAAGACTGTCACAATGCACACAGCAAAGACAAGCAGGAGAAAAACAAAACGTGGGATGTACACTACTGTTCACAAGTTTGGGGCCAGTTTGATTTTTTTAAAGAAATCAATACTTTTATTCAGCAATGATGCATTGAATTGTTCAAAAGTGACCGTAAAGACTTGTTACAAGTTCATCAAAGAAACCTAACAAATTTATCATGGTTTTCACAAAATAATAAGAAATGCTTCTTGAGCATCAAATTAGCATATTAAAATGATTTCTAAAGGATCACTGAAGACTGTAGTAATGGCTGCTGAGAGTACAGCTTTGGCATTACAGGAGTATATTACATTTTAATGAATATTATAAATTAAAATATAAAACACTTATTTTAAATTGTAATAATATTTCACAAAATCACTATTTTATTGTATTTTTTGATCAAACAAATATCAGCCTTGGTGTGCATAAGAGACTTCTTTCAAAAACATTACAGACCCCAAACTTTTGGTGTATGTTGTTATGGTGTTTTTGTGGTTACTAAGAGATTGGTCTTGTTAAAATCTGAATCAAGCCTAATTTTCATGTGAAATCACTTTTACAGGTTTACCCTGACAGCCCAGAGTCTTTTCCAGATTAAAAGACAGCTAGACAAACTGGGTGAGCTGATCCTGAAAGTCACTTACGAGAGTGATCCAATCCCTCTCCAGAGACCTCAGATGGAGGAGCAAGTCAAATACCTCATCTACCACCTAATTAAAAGGTAACATTTAGATTTCATGTCCTTGGCGAACAATTAAAGGGTTAGTTCACCCTAAAATGAATATTATGTCATTAATTACTCACCTTCATGTCGTTTCAAACCCGTAAGACCTTCGTTCATCTTCGGAACACAAATTAAGATATTTTTGATGGAATCTGAGAGCTGTCTGACCCTGCATAGACAGGAACGCAACTGAAATGTTCTTAAGTCCAGAAACATAAAATAATCCATGTGACATCATACGAGAATACTTTTTGTGCGCAAAAGAAAAAAATAACGACTTTATTCAACAATTCGTCTCCTCCGCGCTGTAGCGCCATTTTTGGAGAATATCCGCTGGACTAAACAACGTATGCTGTTCTGTGTCAACTGCGTCACGCCGGATCTGTTTCCTACGTTGTTGTGATTTGATCTGAACGGAAACAGCGTATCCGTGTGACGTAGCTGACACAGAATAGCATACGTTGTTTACGTCCAGCGGATATTCTCCAAAATGGCACCAGGGTGATGCGGAGTAGACGAATTGTTGAATAAAGTCGTTATTTTTTGTTCTTTTGCGCACAAAAAGTATTCTCGTAGCTTCGTATAATTGCGGATGAACCACTGATGTCACATGGATTATTTTATGTTTCTGGACTTAAGAACATTTCAGTTGCGTTCCTGTCTATGCAGGGTCAGACAGCTCTCAGATGCCATCAAAAATATCTTCATTTGTGTTCCGAAGACGAACGAAGGTCTTACGGGTTTGAAACGACATGAGGGTGAGTAATTAACGACAGAATGTTAATTTTGGGTGAACTATCCCTTTAAGGCAATTAGTGCCATAAATACATGAAACTCGATGAATGCAACACAATAGAAAGGCTGTGCTGGGTGACCAGGGAACCTGGATAATCTGTTTTGGTCATGTTTGCAGCTCCTTTGTGGTGGAGAAGGAGCCATGCATGCCTACACACCCTCAGAAACCTCTAATCATCAAAACACAGGTGCAGTTTACCACCAAGGTCAGGTATGAACCACAGCTTCCACCAAACTCCTCATGTAAACAAGTCTACTTTCACAAGGAGTTGACTGCCTTTAGTCCAACACAATTATTGCCCATTTAATTTCACTTTTTTTCTTTTCAGATTACTGGTTAAGTTACCTGAGGTGGATTATCAACTCAAAGTCAAGACAACATTTGATAAGTATGTTCCCCGAATTATGTCTACATTTTATCTTTGTAACCTGGGCCATTCATGTTATGCAATACATTTGCAATAATTACAATAATGTGCAATACATCAACCATTATTAAACTTTTAACTTATTAAAAATAAATATTATTGTGATGTAATATGAGGAAGCGTGTAAAATTGTAAAGCAGACTTAATATATTACTGTTAAACCTTTTTATGTATAACTTGTTTGTATACAAATTTAAGAGTGGGGATCATAAAATGGAAAAAAGCTGAAGTAAGCCATTGCTCAGTGGGGGATGATATTTAGTTTACAGAAGAGTGTCAATCTGAAGTTAATATTAATATTTAAAAATACATGTAATGTCTAGATATCATACAGATTATTATTATTATTATTATTATTGTTGTTGTTAGACAGAGGTAAACCAACTTATTCCAGAGTACACCACATAATATTCATCATAATATTTACTAATGTTGTTTTCCTACCACACATGATGTCACTTCCTCGAAGATGATGTCAATGAACTTGCTTTGTCCAAGTAAAATCTCAAATGCATTTCAATAAAGAGTAATTTATGATATATATATATATATATATATATATATATTGTTGTTATCTAATTTTCGTTAAATAAGTTTAAATCCAAGTTTTGACTGATGAATCTGTTGAGAAAAAAGTGATTTTACAGGAAAAATCTGTAAAAAACAAAGCAATATTCCCACAATAATATTCTTTGCTTACCTCATTTTGATAAAAAAATAATAATAATAATAAATTAATAAACAAACAATCTTGAATATTTCTTAGACGTTAATCCCGCATCCACTCAAACTAAATTTACAATAGTGAAATATTAAAGATTAACTTTCTAAAATAATAATAATCTCTAATTTGAATTCCATATTTACGACTGTGAATATGTATTGTGGCATTTATGATAGGGACATGAAGACTATACACATGGAATGACCCAACTATAATTATGGCTATAATAATTAATATCGTTCTCACATTTACATGCAACTTTTTCTTTCATTGTTCAAAAGCCATGCAAGCAATGTTTGTTTCACATGTGCATTTAGCCCAACATGACCATGTTTTTCTACTCTTTTCTATTTTTGTGTGTGCAGAGACCTTCCACCAGGCAAAGTGTGAGTGCACTCAACCTCAAACAGAAGAACCAACTTCCTGTTGTTTATTTAGGCCAAATCTCAATATGAGTTTTTCAGCTAAGTGTGTGGGGGAGGGGGACAGCAGTGTTTTACAAGCTGAATTCTGTACATATTCTACATAGAGGGTTACTGTAATTTACAGTACAGTGGAAGTTGTGACTAACCAGAAAATATCAAAACTAAGATTACTGATATTTCCTTGTAGGAACAGACAGTTCTTCATCCCCACCAACAACACCAAAGTGATGGATGTTGAGGAGTCGACTGGATGTCTTTCTGTAGAGTTCAGGCATCTGGTACTTCACTCTGAATTCTAGCACATGAATCAAGACCAATACTGTTAATAAGGCTTTGGTGTTAAATATATTTAAATGACTTCACCCACTGTAGGAAAATTAATTAGTCATTATTTACTCACCCTCATGTTGCTCCAAACCCACATTCTGTTTTTTTTTCCATGGAACATAAAAGGAGAAATTTTAAAGCTTATTTTTCCATACAAGGACAGTTGGTAGTGACCACAGCTCCAAAAAGTGAATAACTTCATCTGTTCCTCTCATAAAGTTACTCAGTGTCAGAATACTTGGAATATTTGACTATTTTGTATGTGCGTGTGTGTCCTTTTTCCGAGTTTGACAACCGTGATAACTATGAACTGTTGTTAGAATGAGCTGTGTGAAAATGAACATGAGGTTGAGTAAATAACATTTTCACTCTTGGGTGAACTATCCCTTTTTAAGAGAGCGAAGATATTTTATGAAGTCTTTGTGTTTTGCAGCAGCTGAAAGAGAGAAAGTGTCCTACTGGAGGAAAAGGAAATGAGGTAAGACTGCATTATTTCTAATATTTACTTACTTTATAAGTGTATCTCTTCCAGTGGGACACCTTACAAGGCCTACACCATGGCTCGAGCCTGGTTACATGATAGCATTTTTGCCATGTTGTTATTCAGTGGGGAAATGGTGGCCTAATGGTTAGAGAGTCAGACTCGTAACCCAAAGGTTCGAGTCTCTAGAGAGTCTCGTACCGGCAGGGATTGTAGGTGGGGGGAGTGAATAACCAGCGCTCTCTTCCACCTTCAATACCACGACTGAGGTGCCCTTGAGCAAAGCACCGAACCTGCTCCCCGGGTGCCACAGCATAAATGGCTGCCCACTGCTCCGGGTTGTGTGTTCACGGTGTGTGTGTGTTCACTGCTGTGTGTGTGCACTTAGGATGGGTTAAATGCAGAGCACTAATTCCTAGTATGGGTCACCATACTTGGCCACATGTCACTTCACTTCAGTGTGGCATACATCATCTTGTCAACAGAGGGCAGCCTCACACAGTATGTCCTTGATCTTGGCATTGAAGCGTAATAATATTGCATCTCTCTCTATTGCAGGGTCCCCTGTCAGTAACAGAGGAGTTACACTCTCTCAATTTTGAGGCCATGCTGATGTTACAGGGCCTGGATATTGATCTTGAGGTATGTTTTAGTGTCTATGTAGTATATATATCAAATACTGTATACTATTGCCATACATAATCAAAAGCTTATTTAAAGCTTAATTGAAAATCTTATATATTTTTGTCTATATTTGTGTGTACGTACATAGACACACACACACACACACACACACACACACACACACATACACACACACACATATATATATATATATATATATATATATACTGTATATACTGTATATGC